TACGTGCATCGGAAAATAAAAGTATTAGTATTGGAAAAATTGTCTTGCCACTTTTCCGCAACAAGTGCAGAATGAACAATATAAAAATAAAAATTTGAAGGAATTAACTGAAAGGGTATTGGAAAAAAGTGAATTAATTCATTATTTTTGTAATTCAGTTTATAAAATAATTTATTATGAATTATTTCAATATACACCATTTATTCATAATTCACCCAGTAACAAAGGTACAGATTCCAGAGATCAAGAAAACGTGAAAAAATAATGAGGATAGTAACAAAAGTAAACGCTAGTAACAAAACGAAAGCATTGTGGAATATTGTAAAATATAAGACCACATCGTCACGGTATCTTTTAGGGAATGTTGTTTTAAAGGATAGTAAATGAGCAGCAAGTAATTGAGAAAAAGTTGCAAATCATCTAACACTTTTCTAGAATTGCTTCTTTATGCATAGGAATATTTCCAGATATTTTGAAAGCAGCAAAAATTAAGTCAATCTTTAAACAAGGGAACAAAAATGAAATTCACAATTATCTGCCAATTCCCTCTTTGACAGTTTTCTTAAAAATATTAGAGAGGCTTTTCTATACGCAAATGGAAACTTTCTAAGGAAAAATGAAGGTTTTCAGACTCACATCACAATTTTAGAAATCAAAATCTACGAAAACTACCATTTTCTCATTTATTAAAGATGTTATTACATCAGTGGACCAAAATGAAGCACGTATTGAAATATTTTTAGATCTTGCGACAGCTTTTTACGTTATTGACCATACAATTTTGCTCTCAAAATTAGCTTCATATGGAATTCGTGGTATTGCCCTAGATTGAATAGCCTCGCACCTTAAACATCGATCTCAAAGAGTAGAAACACCATAAGAAAGAAAATTATTTACTTATATTTCCATTCTTTGTCAATATGAGGGTTGGGTGTCGCAAGGTTCGATCTTCCTATCCTCTTTCTTTTGAACGTAAACGATATGCCCTCGTCCATTAAGAACTGAAGAATGTTTCTGTTCGCCGACGACACGAATGACCTTTCCAAAAAAGAAGCAATAAATAATACGATTTGAGAAGTTTTAAATTGGTTTCTCAATAATAAAAAATTTAAAAAACGGCTTCAATGCATTTTTGCTTTTCAAATCGGCAATCGCATGCTCCATTGAAAATGAACAATATGCAATAAACTGTTATGAAGGTAACATTTCTGGATCTCTCAATTCAGTTTAACCTCAAATGAAATATACATGTAACAGAGTTAAACACTAAATTAAGTTCGATATATTACGCATTCAGAATTCTTTCAAATTCTGTCAGTCTTCATGAACTTCGTTACACGTATTTTGCAAATACATTCCTGCCAGATATGGCATAATTTTCTGGGAAAGCTCTTTCTGAAGTACACAGACCTTTAGATTGCAGAAAAAATATTCGAATAAAAAATGCCATCCAAGTTATTCCTGCACGCCTCTCTTCATTGAGCACGGAATCTTTACCATTGCATGGGCTATTTATTTACGAATCATAGTTTTTGTCACAACCCACTTACTTAACGGGGGGATCATATTTTCACGCAATACTGATATTTATAATT